TTATTGGGTATGAAATCATATGAGTGATTTCAAAACTGAACGAGCGCGCAGCCCGAGTCTGATTTGAAATCACAAGTGTGTTTTAGTATATAGATTGTAAATGTTTATGATAATTGCGCAAATGAATATTCTATACTTTATGAATGCTTGTCAATAAATGCAATTGTTTGTTGGTTGGTGTTATTGAAGTATATTTTGATGTAAATGACTATAAAGTTCCCGCTCAAAATGTCTGAGCGCGCATTTGTTTGTCAGTTAACGTTATTGAATATCGATACATATTCAAATATCCTAATTGAAATTCGATCAACACTAATGAAATGTATTCTAGAGTTAATGAAAAACTTATTTACGTTATTGATATAACTTTTGGCATAAATGAAAGTATATTTTCTGGTAATGAACGGCAAAAGGTGTAATTTGATTAGATTTGCTACTTGATTATGGTCGCAAAATGTTAAATCCGATCAAGTTTTTACCATTTGTTCAAGTTGGTTACATTTTTTAGGTTGATTGTGATCACACTTTTTGGTTTTGAAGAAGTTACTTCCTTGAATTTGATGGTGCTCGTTGAATATGATTGAAAAATGCGATGTTCAATCTTGCACCATTTCGCTATCGATATCAGACTACCTACTTTTAAATACTTTATGGCATGAAATTTTGTGGGTTTAAATTTTTGGTGGAGTTTGTGAAGTATTCTCGATCAGGAAAAATAGATTTTCTCATTATTTAAGAACACCGCAAAATACAAAGGCGTGAAAATATGCTACCCTTAGCCAAATGAAAACTTCACCATTCCAAATGAATGAAATATCAATATGTTTTCTTCGTATTCCAAAACCCTTAGAAGATTGATCTACCCATCAACCAAAAGTCAAAAGGTAGGACATTTAAAAAGTGTCGTTTATATCAATAATGTTCTTTTGCTTGAGTTGAGAATTGCAAAATTCATTCCCATCAAAAATTTCAATCATCTCGAGCCACTTCTTTTAAACAGAAGAAAAAAACGCACACACAATACTGAAAATAAAAACTCATTCGACATTAATAGCTAGCTATTTTTTAATTATAAATGCCCGTGAGATATTCAATATCACACTGAAATATGGCTTTAACCTGCCGTAAAACAGAAATTTAGTTTTCTAGTCTAACAGCTATCTAAAATACTTAAATTTCCTGAGATTGGTCGCGTTATGTCGATTGTTTGGCCGCCATAATTTTCTGAGCTCCGAGTATCAGTGCGCATGATGTTTTACCACACTGTCGTAGCAAATGACAAAGCGCATGACAAGTGGTGGTAAGATCCCGCAAAGATAAAGCATTGTTTTTACAATCTGCCTCGGAGATTGTCTAATACACACGATAGATTCCATTGGAAAATATATGTTTTCCATCCATTCGCTGGCTAGAAAATTCTGTTTGTGCTTCAGACAACCACTTCCCCAACGATAGAAGCAAATGTGAAAGTCTTCGTTTTGATAAGACACTAAAAGACATGGAAAAAATAAATTACTCCCGGGAAAGGAGGAAATTGACTCTGCTTGAGAAAATCGGCATTGCCAAGACGCTAAGGGTTGTATAAACTAACAGACAATGCTTCAGTTTTATCAATACCTGAAAATTTCACCAAAAGGGTCGATAACACCTCATTGGATTTTACATAGAACAATAAACCACATAAAATATTTTAGAAGAATACGTGAATCGGAGACAGGAAAGAAGCTGGATTAGAAATAATTAAGTTCGATTCTATGAATAAAGCCTTGAAAAGCTGCGTGGGAAAAAAGATTCAATACAGTGGGAAAAGCACCGTGGAATATCATCCCCAGGCGGTTTAAGTTCTTACTATCATACAGTTATAGAGCCAAAGAACTCAAGTTAAACAGCATCACAAAACTTAAAAAGGTGAAGACAAAACTGACGCCATAAGATGGAGCAACCATGAAATAAAAATCGCAACTGAGCCAATATTTTATGTCCTGGTATAAGGCAGATATTGCAAAAGTTAAAGACCTCTCAAACCTTATAGTGGAAAATTCCTAACGAATCAATAATTTGTTAACCTTGTTAAAGTAAAGTACAGTTTCACTACAAACTATGATATGCTCAGTGCAATTAGAAATAAATGGAAATTTTTGCCTACTGATAGACAGAGGTGGACATGGAAGCAGAGCTAGTGCGACAGTGAAGAAACTCTCTCTAGCGCTGCTCTGCACGAAATAATTATTGAAAATAAATTCCAACCACCCATCAATGAGTTATGTTCAAAGTTATGTTCCAGAAATTTTGCCACCACTAATGTCTCAGTAGGACAAATTAATTTACTTACTTTGTGTCAATGTTTTCACGTTCTTCGTGTTAATCTATTGTAGTCCTCAAAGTGAATACGAAAAAATATGAACAGGACTTAAGTAGTACTGAAAATAAGGCAAGTTTCGGTTGAGTCCTGATTACCCTCTTAATTTGTTCGTGATCAGTCCGGGATAGTTATCAGATTTGATAACCACGTGACGTCACAACATGGTGATCATCTCGGAAATCGAAGATAACGAACATGTCAAGTAAGATATGTATGGGGCGCCAAACCAGTCAATATTCCCTCTGCATTTCTGTGATCCAGTTTACTTTTTATATGGTAAATTCGACGTTTCATACGGTCAACTTTTTACTTTTTATATGGTTAACTCGAGTTTTTTATGTGGCCAACTCGACTTCTTATATGGTCAACTTTTTACTTTTTATGGTCGATTTCGAATCGTTCCGGAATGTATTGTGCCCGATCACTAACAAAGATAGCTGCTTATGCTCCCTCCGGAGAACACAACGATTACGGGCTGTTTTTACTTTTTGACAATTTAAAGATACTGCTTTCGACAGTATCCTCATTCGAAGAGGCAGAAAGATGCAATAACTTGTCCTTTGAGGATGTTGATCAGGCAGCTGATCGATTGTGAACTGCTGCAGAGACCATTCAGTTACTCACCACAGATTTTGGGAACAATGAAGATTTCACTGATGTGGCATCAATCCTAAACCTGTCTCTGATTAAGGTTAGGAAAAGAACATTTTCTTGCTCGGAGGACAATGAGCTACTGGATCCACTTCATGAGTTGCATTTATTTGCATTACATTACACATTCGTCCCCATAATCAATAAGTGCTTATAGGAATTTAAGAGCCAGCGGGAAAATCATCCACTGTCTTCTGAAAAAAAATATTTTTTCCTATTCAATTATATACAGCTGGAGTGCTTGAAAATGAACACTCTAGATATGCCGCAGTTGAAAGTGTGTTTGATGCTTGTAATAGGCATGATTATGGATATGCAGTTGTAAATCTCAAAATTTGGTAAGCTTAGCTTCGTCTAACCCCCTAATGAGTCTCTTCAGGTGGGCCAGTGTTTCTGTCTCAGCTGCTGTAGCCAGGCTAGCTTCAAGTAGGCCAATAACTTTGACATTACTTGGTGTGATGGAAGAATACAACTGATGTAATGATTTTACATCTGGGAAACAAATCTTAAGGTGAGCAAGAATTGGCTGCCAGCAGTCACTCACATATTGGGGTTTTTGCACTATCTCCTTGTGAGCAATCTCTCTCATGATTTCTACTAAATTGCTGTGTGTGACTTTTCTCTTACAGTCAAATGCTGACAAAAAGTCAAGCATCTCATCATTGTCGCATGCGGAAAAATGGAAGGATCCGAAAGAATCTTAAGCATATCAGCCCTCACAAGTGACCTGTGAATTCTTATGACTTTAGAAGGCACCTCACCATTATTTGATGGTGAAGGTGGTGGAGATATTTCATTAACATTAACTACAGCTTCATAATTATTAACCGACTGATTGTTCTCCATCTCTGACGAGAAGAGCATTGTATCTCCAAGGATAAGTAGTTTCCCTGGGGGTGTGGATTCAGCTTCACTGTTTTGATGCTGCAATGACGAGGAACTTGCATTAACAGGGGTCTCTGAGAGGTCACCAGCACATTGACTAAAGGATGGTATGATAGGCTGTTCGTCATCTTCATCCCTATCTTCCTCTTCAAAGGGCTCCAGACATCTGGTGTACACACTCCCTTGACCTGAGAGCTTCATTATTCTTTAACCATCCATTCTAACTCTCTTTGCTAGTTAAGGAGTTAGTAAGGTTTCATAACAAGCCTACAAATGATAGAGTTACAATAATAAAAATGAAGCAGGTCTCATCAACACCTCCCAGAGAATGCACGACTTAGTTAGCCGCTAAAAATCTAGACCCTATCTATTTGTTCTTGTTGAATTTTTGCCTTACAATAAATGTACATGAACTTTCAATATTAATATGTTTTACCCTTTGTTACTTGTCTTATCGAGCAGGAGCCAAAAATAAGTTACCTTGTGGTATTCAAACATATCCTCTCTTGGAGGTTGACTCTCGATGTCTAGGTATGTCCAGTCTTTACTGAAAGGAAACTGGTAGATAATCAGGCCCTAGTCTCTTCGAGCTTCACTTTGTTGACGTGACTTAGTACTTTCTTTGTATTAAGGTTTGGAATTATCAACAAGTCTTTCTGGAAGATTGTTTTACTGGGATACCTATTCTTGTTTCCTCGGGAAATGAAACTTGTAAAAGTACCCGTCGAAGTTCGTTTTCTAGTTGCGGTCGCCCCACATGCGTTAAAAGTTGGAAATCGGCGTGAGAGCTCTGTTGCAATCGAAGGGCTTGATGATGCGACTGAGGAAGTCGAAGCTCTGTTGATAGCCGTCAACGCTGCCAAATTTCTAATATCATTATTTTAAAGACTTTCGATGGCTTCGAGAGCCCGCTTAGCTATAGCACACACCTAGGAGATGCAAGCGCTATGCAATATGGAGGTCACAAAGCTAACCATGTAAAAAGTTACAAGTTGACGAAACAAAAAGTCGAGTTGACCATTAAAAAAGTAAAAAGTTTATCATATGAAAAGTCAAGTTGACCATACAAAAAGTTTAACTGACCAAATAAAAAGTAAAAAGTTAATCATATCTAAGGTCGAGTTGGCCATGAATAAAGTTCGACTGACCATACAAAAAGTAAAAAGTTTATCATATGAAAAGTCGAGCTGACCATATAAAAAGTTTAACTGACCAAATAAAAAGTAAAAAGTTAATCATATAAATAGTCGAGTTGACCATATATAGAGTAAACTGGGTCACAGAAATACAGTGGGAATGTTGACTTGTTTGGCGCACCCTATTCGGTACACTCAGAAAACTCATACATGCATGTCACGTAAAACTGACTTAAATTCTCCCTCTTTACTCAATTCTCGCACACAATCACTGGATACATTGATATTCCTCTCGCAGTCTATTTTTTTATTCAAAAGTAACACTTGATGATTGCTAAAAATTGAAACAGAAGGCTGATGCAGTTCGACGTTGACGTATCTTGTGTGGCAAATATTGTGTAACCACTTGACTCCGATTGCCAAATCAATCATAATTTGTTCGTCTCATTGTTTTCGTCATGGTGCTCAATGGGCCACTTCACAGTCGTGTACTTAGTTGCAAAGCCTTTGATTTGGAGTGAGGCTGAAAGTGAGCTTGTTGTGATAGAGACCAATATCTAGTTAGTATAATAACAGGACAATTTACATTTGGAAAGCAGCAAGGTTTGTAACATAACATGGTCACCCTTAGCCTCACTCCTGTTAAAAGGCTTGGCAACCAAGCACACAACTGTATTTTACATGCTGAACAACCAAACCCCATTTCAACCCAACTCTGTGATGAAAGGGTTAACTTCTCATTGTAAAACATTCAAAAGGAGAAAAAATGACAAGACAAAGCCAGGACCAGAAAGAGAAAGTCAAAAGAAAGAAAACTGTGATGATTTGTGAACTTAATTTGCAAATCATTAGTGTAAAATTACCATGCAATGGAGCCCTTCTTGGTCAAGCTTACTTGGTAGGATAATTGCCATGTTTCAATTTTTGGTTTTGTAATGAAAGAATCGTGCCAGTCCACTGTATATGTGGACACATCTCATTTTTGCATTTATTTTTTCAATAGTTTTTTTAAGGAGCCTAACTTTATTGTCTTGGAACTTAAACTAATGGTATGCCAACAAAAAAGTGAATCAATGTAATGATCACCAAATTAACCTCAGACTAAGTAAAACAAACCCTGTCTATCTTAGCTCAAAAACTGTTTTATTAATTTTCTCTCCTCATCAAGAAAATTGGCATCCTTTTTATGAAAACATCTGCTCTGTGAAGTATTTCATCCACATATATTCTCTAGGAGTCCTCTCTATAACACAGTAGGAAACTGGAGAACTGTTTGTGAAAAACTAATTATATCTTCAATTTCCTTCATTCAGCTTTAGCAGACTGCATGGAATGTGTTTACTTTTACATACTTTTTGAAATTGTGATGCCTCAAATTACATTTTGGTTTTGAATAGCCCTGCTGATGTTTTAAGATATTTCTGACCGCAGAAAAACCAGCCCAAAAAAGAAACATGTTATTATTACATACTTATGTACACAGTATTTGATTTCCTAAAAAACACTGATGTAATTTTATGCACCTATAGCTATGTGCAATCAATTACAAATGTTCCTAATACATGAAAGTCATTCAATTGTACAAATTACTCATGGGGGGGGGGGGTCTGAAGAACATTTTGATCCCTCTGCTCATGGAGCAACCTTATTCTTGATATAGGTGGTCACTGCAGCTCCCGAAGAAAAGAGAGCCATAGTTGCCTTGGCTCCCATGCCGGCTGCACCAGCACTTTGAAGTCCTGCAAATATGCTGCCTGAAGCCACAGCTCCCCCATAAACTGCAGACTGGATGCCAGCAGCAATGGAACCGGCAGCAACACCTGTAGCTGTAAATCCTGTGACAGAAAGAACAATAGGGGCTCCAACTACTGCTGCTACACCTCCTAAGCCAGCAGTGGCGTACTCTTTCCAGCACCATCCACCTTTGTTTGAATCTTTTAAAAAAGAAAAATTGTCTTTGTCAAACAGAAAGGCACACCTGGTTATGGGAAATAGGGTGCAAGATTTTGCAGAATCTATTTCTGTGTCAAGTTTGAGGTTGTTGAAATTGTATGTAGTAAAAACAGGGAAGGCCTTCAATTTCAAATTAAATCTAGGCTCAGGGGTTTTAGGTGGGGGAGAGACCTGTGATTTAAATAGATTAATGTTTCCTTAAAGGGGTATAAGAAATAAAACAATTTACCTCTTCTATCGGTTAAAAGTACTTACTGGCAACATTAGAAGTCTCAGCATACCAAGATTAAATTTTCATTTCCATTTGGAACTCAACGCTTCTTTCAAACGTTATGCTGAAGTTGAGGTGTGGCGCCGCACGAGACAGTAAACACATGCAGCCATTTTCAAAATTCTAATTAAAGGCAGAAATTCATTTTTTAATCGAAGTCTTCCTTGGCGTTGCCGTCCTGACTGCTCAAGGTCGCCATTAATTGAATTACTTCGTGCCTAAACATGTCCGTTGACTTAATTATATTCGAAATAACCTTCTTTACTATGTAAAAGTTAAACAGCTGATATTGAAGGACGCAAGTCATTCACAACTGTAAAATGAAATAAAAATCACGTTTCTATAAGGCCAATAGTCAAGCAATAGTCAGTAGTCGGGATCGGAATCATTAAGAAATTCGGAAATGTTTAGAGTTAAGGTAACCACACTATCGATACATCACGATTATCGGCGACATGTAATCTTTTCGGAAAAATTTCCGCACAGCCCCATACTTAATTATGCATGTACATCTTACTGGTGATACACTGAAAAATAAAGCCCCATATATGGATGTATAATGATGTATGGGGCTGTGCGGAAATTTTGCCATCTTTTCTTGCAGATTTACACATAACAACTCTCTAAGATGCAGGAGCGTCGGTTAACGACGAAATAGTGTAATCGAGATAAAGTGAGTTACGGGCAGACATGACACTGGAAGCTGTTGCACGGTGCACAAAGTCGCTGAAAATGTTTTCCCCTTTTGAGGCAACAAACAAATTTAGGAAAAGCAGTGGGGAAGTCGAATGCTAAAATCTTACTTTAACCATGCATTTTAAGCAGTTAGTTACAGCGTTTATGTCAAATAGGCTTGGGAAATCTCATTTAATCTGAGGCGTGTTCCAACTCAGCGGTGGATACAAAACCGAAAGTTTGGCAAATTTCAATTGGTTGAACTTACCTTCCGCCCTTACTGGCGACAAGCATGTTATGATACAGTTAATACAACACTTGGTAGAGTTTTTCATGATATGTGATGGATAAGATCCTCTTATTCCTTCCCGATTACAAGAATAACTTCCCTTTCCTTCTCGTAGGCAAAAACCGAAAATGCTGTAATTTGCATATTAGACTGTTGACGTGGCACGCTTGGATTGCATGTTAAATTTTTCCGTGACTGCGTTGATTGGTGACCCAGCAGACAAGACAATAAGCCACGCGCATATCAAATTTCCAGACATGTCCTGTAAAGTTTCGTGGAGGTGTCACTATGTTGTAGTTGTAATCGGCCATCCGTGAAAAGGAGGCATCGCAAAAATTTTTTGGAGTCTGTAATATAGGTAAGCAACGGAAAAAAATACAAATATCTTGACGCTAATACGAAGTCATGAGCGAAAACGAAGCACGTGTTCGTTTCTGTTCTGTTTTGCGGGTCTAATATGCTAAATAGGGCTTTCATCACGAAGACAACATCGGGCGAGCTCGGATTTCGTAATCGGAAATCTACCCGAGATGACCTCCCTCTGACGGATGTCGGAGTACGCTTTCCCCTGTAAAGGATCTTTGCAAAGACAAACATGGCGTTCCAACATCGCCAAAATTCAATTGATCAATGTTAATTCAACCATACAAACATTAACTTGTGCTGTGCAATATTTGCTGTTAACTTTCAACTTGTGATTCAAACATTTAATTATGCGCTCCCAAAATACAAATAGTCAGTCAATTAGGTTAAACATTTGATGATAATCCTCAAACCCTTCATGTAACATTTGAATGTCATCCTCGACTAAGCGGTTGTTTGATTTAAACTTGACATCCTTTATCGAAACTTTCCCCTTGAGTATTCAAATGTATAAATCAAACTTGCATTCGATTCAAACATTCAATTCCGACATTCAATGTAAATATGCATGTCGAACATTCAATGTAAACATTCAATTCAAACATTCCATGCGAACATTCAATTTGGATACTCATTCCACATAATATTAACTTTTATTAACATTGGAACCCCAATCTCACCTTTTTTTCTGATTTCATTCCATCTTTGAAGGTTTTTGTGGTAGAAAAAGGCAATGGCATGAGATTACTGTTGTGTTTTCCTGCTGAGGATGAATGCGTGATGCTTGCAATTCAAATAAAGTGCTATGTCACGCATTCGAATTTTTCATCGTAAACGTTCAAGTGAATAATTCGCAAAGTACACCACGAAGATTTTCCTTACGCACTTTCCGTGGTTGTTATCATTTGTTAGATTACGTATGTAATCCACACTGGTAGTGTGATCGATTCACCCTCCCGGCTGGTGGCCATAAATTTTCTGCAACCACAGATTTCCATTTTGCAAACTACAGATTTTCCATTTAGCAAATTACATATTTTCATTTCAAAAATTACAAATTTTGAGTTCATCCCACAAATTTAGAATTTCAATTTCGTTTCGTTTCGTTTCGTTTCGCAAACCACAGTAAGCCCTTGCTACGAATCAACAAGATGTGAAACAATGATTAAATGGTGACATCAAAACAACTAAGGCAAGGCTGCATGCGGACGCCGAACGAGAGCTCTTAAATGTTGAAGAAGTTGTGCTTGCAAGCACTCTAAATTTTTGGTACTGGAAATTTGCTTAATTGTTTGTAATTTATCCTCAAATAATTTTTGCGCTCTTTGGCAGAAGAGGCTATTTTGATCTGCTTCAATTTATTGCTGCAGCTTTCTAGCAGAAATCGAACAGTTATGTTATGTAAACATTCAATTCGAACATTCGGTGCAAACACGCAACTCCAGCATTCCAACATCCAGTGTAAACATTCAACTCAAACATTCAATCCAAATCTTCAATGCGAATATCCAATTCGAACATTCACTGCAAACATTCAATGTTCACGCGGTTCAGTGATCTGGTGCCGAAATTACGGCGCGAGGACGAGGCTAAGTGCGATAGTGAAGTAAGAATGTTGCGGTAGTGAACTGGGTATGGGACTCTGAGAATGGGCTCCACGGCGGCTTTTAACCATCCATTTCCGTTTACGCAAAGTCATTTTTTACGTCGTTTTAGCGTTTTTCTGTGAAACATTTAAGAAATTTGCATAAATTTCTGCCGCAAAGTTCGGTACCAATTGTAGCTTCTTTATTTTCAACCCGCTGCCGAGGACGTGAATTATTTCTCTCTAAATACTGAGGTTTCTTTCAATAAATAATGTTAGAGAGATTAAACGATAGAGGGGCTTTAGTTCCCCAAAAGCCTTCGATTTCAAATTTCTCCACAACGAAATGAGCCTTTTCTCTCAAAAACGTATGAGGGTCGACATATCTTTTTCCAATGGTCACATATCCCTCTTACGCACCTACTTTTTCAAACGAAAAGAGAGTGGGAACGAACAACCAAATTCGAGGCCGTTGCCGTGCTGATCGCGGGCTTGTGCGAGTGACAGACAACAAAACTTGTTCTAAAAATTACCCTGGAGGTAGGAAGGGGAAAGGGGAGGAGAATAGAGACGGGGGATTTCCTTTTTATTCGATTTGCCAGCCTTTTTCCATTCAGCTCAGCCAGAGCGCGTTAATGAACGACGCCGCAGTAGCAACAGTGCGAGAAAAGGAGGATCGACTTGGTCGAGTCACAAGAACTTTTCGAGTAAGAGTCCTATTGAGGCCAAAATCACTTGTACTTGTCCAACACACTCTCTTAAACATTCTTCAACAAACGAAACAAACTGAAGTATGGAAGCGAAGGTAACAATTGGAGCGAAATGAACATTTGAAGCAGGCTAAAATAAAATAACAAGTAACAAGTTACCTATAATAACCCGTAAAGAAATCGACAAACAGGAAACAAAATGAATGACATCTAAAGACACTTACAAAAGTTGTACGAGATGCTGGCTGGTTAAAGATAACATAAAACGATGAAGAAAACGATGGCACAGTGCAAGTTAAACGATAGAGCCGAATGAATAAAATTTACGGTAAAGAACTTCTACGAATGACCCAAACAAAGAGAAACTTGCTCTGTCAAAAAATTGAAAAAGCGACAAAGGCGAAAAAATGAATAATGTCAAAATAAACACCCAATAATTTTGGCGATAACATGTCCTGAAACCACAAACCAAGTAGTTACTTGATCAGATCAAAAAAAAATATCACAGAAATACCAGAAGAATTCCAAACAATGAAATAATCACGTGAAAACACGAGTGACCAAATCACTGTTGGCTGGTAATTTAGTGTTAACAACTGAGTTGAGAACGTGAATTGGCCACCGTGAAGAGCGTTAGCCCTTTGTCATCCAATCGCTTCCTATTGTTAGGAAAATGACGCCAGGATAGAGACAAACGAAAAACTTAGCTTTTATTGTTATTTTCCACGATGAATAACTACAACCTCTTTTACACAGCATTACTGATCAATGGTAAGGTCAAGATGGCTGAATGTTCCCCGAGTTTTTTTTCGTGTTTTTAAGGACCGAGGCGAAATCAAGGTCTACAAACGCACAAAAAAAGAACAAGGGTAATATCTAGCCATCCTTGCCGAACAAGCTTCTTCAGAATAATAGCACACAGGCGCGGGTAACTTCGGGTGCTGAACTCGATAGCTTAAGAGTGAGCGCCTCGTGAATCCACAACATTTTGACTACTGTGATAAAAAATGTTGGATAAGAATACAGACCACGCTAAACCAATGACGATTTGTCAATTGGCAGTGGACATTCCGTAAGGTGGCTATTCTTGTCCTCGGTTTCTAGGTCGAATTGAAATATAGAATATTGTGGAGGAAGGGAAAACTTGAGGACCTGGAGAACAACCCTTGGAGCAAGGACGAAAACCAGCGACAAACTCAACCCACATTTGACACCGGTGGCTCATTTCTCAAAAAACCCTGTAACTTAACGGGCCTGGAAAGCTGTTCTGTGTTCTGTTTTCATCCAAGAAAAGGATTTAAAAAGTTTTGAGAATCATGCGATAAAGCTTTCAGCTAAAGAAACAAAATGGACTGGTTAGGGAGCCAGAAACTGCTTTTCTATTGTTTAGGGACGGTTTATATTCTCTTGTTACTAGTTTTTGTTTGATAGATTGGCTGTACTAGCAATACTGAATAATCAGAGAGACTTTGAAGGGAGACTTGCAGTGAAAGAACTCTCGTGTAAGAATTAAAGTGATTGTCGCATTTTTTAGCGATTAAATAACTTGTTCAGTATGTTTATCGGCTATCCCAGCATCTGCGTAGGAAATAATAGATTGCAAATGAAAACTGTAGGATTGATAACAAAAAAGTGTCTCGTAACAAAGACAATATCGTTATTTATGCACTGAATGTTACTCTGGTTTCAAAACGAGACCGAGAACGTGGGGCGCAGCTGGTACAAAACTAAACACATAGTTTAAGTACTCTGTCGTCTTTATTTTCATTTACTGCGAACGCTTTTTCCCCGTCATCATCGTTGGCAGTACATCTGCATTCACTTGTGTCCAACCGCACGAAGAATCAAGAGAAGACATTCAGTTGTGCTATGTCATCTTTGAAGTGGCCATTAAAACTGTCCCAGAAAAAGAAAGAGATTTAAAACATAACAAGGTGGCAACGGGTTAGTTTACAAAAATAACAGCGAAATTATTAGGACAAAATAAAACAAGTTTGAAACGCCTCGTATTCGATGTGATAAAGGACCGAAGTAATTCATTTGGGTAGAAATGTTGTGAAGAGGTGAGGTACGTTCAGGTGATTTTAATATAATTCCCAGTATATAGTTTACAAATATATTGAAACCAATATCATTAATATTTTGATGCTTCAATTGTCTGCAGATGGCCGTTGTGAAGAGTTTTACATCTTTTTGTCCAAAGTTTTAGCAGATAATAGAGGTGTAGGGCTATTGTATCAGTACAACTTTTCACCGAACATAGACAGTGCTTTCAAAGCTCTCTACATGCAAGGTACATCTGTTTGTTATTAAGTGGGCGAAAGGGCTATATTGGGAAAACATTGTGATTCTTGGTCTCGAGAACAGCCCGAGGCCAAAGGCTGAGGGTCACATAGCGCTTAGTTTTTCCCAGTGAGGATCGATTTTGTGTTGGTAAAATGAAATGTTTGTCTTCATTTTGAATCTTCTCATTAATTTAGACTAAATGCCGTCCGTAACCTGTTTGTAACTCCTCAAATATTCACTACAAGCGACTTTGCAATACTCAAAACTGCTATGTGTTTCAAAGGAAATTTTTGTATCAAGTCGTCGAATTAAGTTCCAGTCGTACACGTGTATGCTTAATTCTCCAAACTTGTGTTTTGTGTGATAAGTTGTTTTTTAAATGAAGTCCGTAAACTTTCTTTGCCAGAGCAAAATTTTTGTAACCAATTTGCATGCAACCTGAACGACAGCCGAATTCACCGGAACATGAAGATCGCTCGGGATGACAGCACGGCAAAACTCGGCTGCAGTAACTGATGTGACTTTCCATTCAATGCATCGGAAAGGATATCAGAGCAAGCTCTTATTTTTTTACTCGAAGGGCGGCCGATGTAGTTTCTGAGGCTTGCTTTACTGTGATGACCGGAGATCGCCATGATAAGCGAGCCGCGATGGACTTCAGCATGATCATATTCGCGCAGACACCGTCATGATTAGAATGAATTTTAACAGTTATGCCAGTTTGGTTATATTTTTCATCATTCCTTTTTTTTCAGTTTTGTATTTGAACACTGAACTTTATATACTATACGAGTGTTAGCTGTGTTTGATTTTCATTACCGTACGTAAGCTTGCAATCTAACTGAGCGTGAAAATCTTTAAAACTTGGAATGTCTATTTTGTTTTTCCTTTGAGGATTTTCGTATCTGCCCACGTTTTAATAACGTAAATAACGGCGCCTGGTATGTTTACAAACCTTTCTTTGGTTCTTCTGTTACTACTTGCCGGCTCGCTTGTTCCGAAATTTCACTTTCAATTATCAGAAAAAAGCTAAAAAGAAGTCCCGGAAAAAGTCGAACATAGTACAATTTGACAGATGGCGTGACAGCTTTAGCTCAGTTCTATGCTCTATACTCTCATAGAGCACGCTCTTTCAACCAATGACAGCGCGCGTTATATCCGAACTTTATTATAATAGTTATTAGTCGTAAAAAGCTGTTCTTTCAGCAATTTAATATGATTCCTATGGATCCTTGATATGTAACACCCGTAAGAATACAATTTACTTCCCTGGTAATTTAAATACATGAAGCGATTCAATTCATGTGCAAGTTTACATGGAGTGTTGCACGAGTGTTGTTAAAGGCAATATTGTGGGTAAAAACTTCACTGATGTCGTCAGACTTTGATCGATTTAGCTAATAAATTTAGCCAAAGATTTTTAAAAATCTAATTTTCATATTTGATTGAATAAATACAAAAGCAAACAGAAACAAAATTTCGTAGAAAAAGTTGTGGTTATTCATCGTGGTGAATAACAATAAAAGTTCAGTTTTTCGTTTGTCTCACGATGTAGTCACGTGTGATGTGGATCGCTCTACATCACATGTGACTACATCGTGAAACAAACGAGAAACAAAATTGTTAGTAAGTACATACCATTTCGGCTCCACTGCGCAGTACAACATGAATTAGAAAAACCATTAGGTTTATTATGGCTGTTTCGGCCGAGCATCGCACATATAACAATACGTTATACAACAACCTCTGTTACATTCAAACATTTGGTGGAAAAACTAGAACAGAGCTGAGCGACAGTTTACACGGAATACAGTCAGAACAGAGGCCAGAAAACTCGGCAGGAAATCTGGGTAGGATCCATGGCTCATGCTCTGAAAAGCCCATCCTACGAAGGCTACACGGCTGGAAGGTCTTTACCCTTATTTACTGAACATGTGTTCCAACAAAGCACGGAAAACTCTAAATAATTTTAGGAAACGCAAACAAGCTAAGAAACCCCTGCGAAACTCGAACTGTCACTAGTTAATCAAACATGTACTAAAAAATAATGTGAGCAAGACGAGGTGTCGGCCTAGAATGCTTCTCCACGTGATAACCATCCCTTTTATAGCACCCCATTCTACCCATGCTGCACCTCAATTGCCCCAGTCCAGAAATATTTCATTTCCGGTTAATTCGTATCCACTCAAACGCCGGAAATTCCATTATCTGTCGGTGCATTGGGCGCATTTCCTAAACACGACAGGGTCCCATCATCAGCCCCTAGCACCAGCTCCAACCTGTCCTCCCACAGCACTAACTGCACTCCCCAGCTCAGTCTTACCAACATTGATCAGTTCTGTGCAGCGATCAATACCCCGTATGATCGCCATCTGGCCATTAACCAGGGGAACTAGCTAAGGAAGGATGTGGATCAACTTGTCACATAGTGATAACACGGGGCAACTTGACCTGCTTCTCCTTAAGATGCATGGCTCTAATCCATGTTTCATGGTTACCTTTATTCATAGAAATTCACATAAAAAACACGTTTTTAGACACGGAGAGAAGCTATGACTTTCTCCAGGAACTAGTTTAGTGACCAGAACTGTGTCTCGCACTTCACTTGGGTAGCAGGCGATCTTCGTAATGTGGCAAAATCTTCGCGATTAAAAGGTTACTTACCATATCTGCGGCACTACTTTCTCCAGGAACTATTTTAGTAACCAGAACTGTGGCTCGTACTTCACTTGGTAATTTGACAGGCCATCCGTCCAGTACCTTACCACTGTCTCCTTCTAGAACCCATAGATACCTGTTTTAAGTACATCACGTGTCATAGTTATAGCTTGATAAATTGAATTACGTGTCCCTATTGTAAACATGCTAAATAATGATTTCGCATGCGATTGACACAAGCCAATTTAAGAAATAAAGCCGTTTATTTTTCCAGCTGGTGTTCGTCAGAGGTACATCACAATTTCACGAAAAAGGTTTTTGTTTATCTTTTTTCCCTTCTGATTTGTTCATTGTGCAATTTCTTAGACCTATTTTTCATCCAAACCCAGTGAAGGGACGGAGGTTCTACTATGTCGCACTTTCCTATCAAGTGAGTTCTTCCTACATGTACCAGTGCATCGTAATCTTCACGTTTCACAAAGACTCACCGAGGAAAAAACAAAATTTACATGTAATAGAACAGAATTTGATAGCGATTTATTTTTCTCAATCATAAATACCATATGAATGGCTTGTTGTATTGAGGGTGAATTTTACAGTCCAACTCACCCATCAAACCATAGTTAATCGATTAACTATGATCAAACGTAGCAACAACAGCTTTCATAAAACCATCTCCATCCACATCAGCAACACGGATTCCTGAAGCACTTGAACTGGAAACTGTGGCCTCCCACACCTAAACGAAATGTTAACACTTGAACTCCAAAAATCTGATTGTTAATTATCCCTTCTCGCTGGTAACATTTTCTTGTAAATTAGTTATGAAGAATTGGGTGTTAACAAAGATAACAACTTCTACTTGATAAGTTTGAGTATTCTCAGTAGCTATTTGCTAGATGATGTATTAATATTATTGGGAGAAGTAAAATGTCAATTACTTCTGGGAGCAGAAAGGGTTAAACACTGAAATTTAAATGTAATAAAAAAATACAGACAACTCTCTCTTTATGGTAACCTCTGTAGGGAGGTCAAACCTCCTTTTATGGTCATTAGGAATCAGCCCTAGGAGATAATGAGTTCCCTTCTCATTCTTTGACAACTTTTTCCTTTATGAATGACTCTCAATGTCCTTCTGTGTTACTGAGACTTAGGAGTCTCTGGAACAAAGGCACCTGTCTAAGATGGACAATTAGAATCCTTCCTGATTGCTCTTTTCTTAGGGGGAGTTGGCTGCACTGCTCTAACCATTCCATGCTCAGAAATAACCAGTATGTGAATTCTTATTATAATTCCTAAACACTATGCTGTAAACATGTAATGAGAATTAACCCTTTAACTCCCAGAAGTGATTGAGAGGTAACTTCTCCCTATAATATCCATATACTATCTAGCAAAAAGTTAATGCGAGTACTTAAACTTATCACATAGAAGTTGTTTTTCATATTCTAACACCATATTCTCTTTACTAATTTTAGAGGAAATGTGTAGCAGCTAGAGGGGGAAATTACCAATCAGATCTTGGGAGTTAAACTGTTAGGAACATCATCATGTAAGAATTATAGCCAAACTAAAGTTTTTGCTAAATTCTTTGCACTTGCAAATGGTCAGGTAGGCAGAGAAGTAAAAACTAATCAGTCAAAGCACATTTTCATGATACACACTGTACAACAATGACCTATCAACATGTGTTGAAAAGGGACTGTTGGATCATCAGTCAAGAGAATTTCAAACATGCTGATGTCAGATCTTGAGAAGGAAAAGGTTTGATCTAGGTAAGTGGACCAACTCCAAGACTCAAATATCTAAAGCCATCTATGGCAATTTGTTTGTTGGAACAAATCTCTAAAATAAAGGGCCCATCAGAGATTCAAATAGTCTACTGCATCTCCAAAAGGCTTCAAAATGAAGGTCTAAAATAGAATTCTATGGGGGAACATAAATGTTTGTTGTAGAATGTAACGTATCAATGACATTTCATTTTATCAGAGAGGAAATTAAGATAACAGCACAAACCATTTTCCCATTAAGATCCTTGCAAGCAATATTGCCACTGTTGTCTATTGCTAGAATTTCCAATACGCCATCTTGATTCACACCTGATATAATGACCTGAAAATAATATATTTAAATAAGGATACCTGTATTGCAATTGCCCAGATGTATATAATCAGCAGCTATCAGTATCAAAACCCCTTAGAGTGACTGGCTTCTAATAATTGGTGATCATTTCAATTATTCTCATGACCTTTACATTTTAATTCAAGATTCATTTTAAATTCTAGTCATTTGTACAAGTTACACAGAAGTAATAAATATCAGCAAAAGATAGGTCTCCAATTCAAGAGACAAAATAAACACTTCACAAAAAGGTTTTGTACTAAACTAGAAGTTTCCAGCCTGGAGCTCAACATGTACTTATCATAGATTAAGGGGATTCAAATATTTACTTACTTGGCCAGGTACACTGTCCATGGTACTAAGGGACAAAGGTTCATTTAAGGAGCTTTTTATAAAGTAAACAGTTCCTGAGGATGTTCCCACAACAATCCCACCTCCTGGAATTGCAGAACCAGAGGACAGAGCATAAGCAGGGTACTGACTATGCTTCTGCACAACAAAAAAAAATCTTAAATTATGTTCATTATTAGCATTCTTCACTCTGTTGTACATGACTCATTTTGAATATTCCAGCCTAGTGAATTTATTCAAGTAAATTCTTAATGTACATAGAACACCATGTTGGCAAAGTTCCAAAAATTTGAGTTCACATCAAATTTTAAGAAGACAGCCTAAAACTGCAAATTGCTCTCCTACACGTAATGGCTGTAAGCTGTGCCTTAATGATGACAAAACAATCAGAGTCTTTTTCGTCCAGCACAAAACAAACACATTGTAAAACCTTTACACATCAGAGAAGGATTCAGAAAATCAACATCCAGAACAACAGTGAAACATCACTCCATATAGAGATTGTGACATTATAAAAAAGATGGTTAATCTTTGAATGTTTGATTTTAAAGTTTGAGTTAGTGGAGTTCTACATGTACTGTATTGTACCTTTCAATAAGATTGAAACTAGATGAGTGAAGAATAAAACTAGAGATTTTATTTCACAGAAATATGCAGCTGCCAATTTTTATAATAATGGCCTCCTAAAAGCAGATTGAAAGAAACAAAATGATTAATTCCTCCAATCAGAAACAGGGGCATAATCTTTTAAACCTTCTGAAATGCTACATGTATATATGGTAAGATACAAATTTCCTTGAGAGGTTAAGAAGTTGGATGGATATAAAACCAAAACTAGTTTAAAGTTTTTTAAATCAGTCTGATCTTTCCTGTAGATTTGCCACCAAATACTGTACATTGCAGCCAAAAACTAATTAATGCATTTCCATTGAAACACAAGTCCTCAACACCATAGCTGATAGCAATCTTATTCAGAAGTAAAGTAAAAGTCTGTGATTTTTCATAATAAGTCAGTCACAAACTGTACAAACACAAAGAGTTACTTACCCTGGACACATGCAAAATTGATGAGAACACAAGCTGTTTTGTGTGAAGATTGAACACAATTATGGCACTTCCCAAATAATTTTGAAGATCCTCTGATGACAATCCTTGTTCTGATACAGCCAACTGGCTGTGAGAAGGGAAAAAAAATGGCACAAGAAACGAAGAGTTACGTTTACAACTAACTTGTTCATTTAGATATGGAGATAACATATTTAGGTTAAAAAGCTCAACATAATGTATGCCAGTGTATTTTGGGAAGTACTTTAGAAGCAATATTACATTGTCAAAAATAGCTGGCAGTTAAAATCTATGTGGATAGAAATTTAAAAGAGTGTACCATGGGTAAAAGCAGAAAATTTTGGCACTGGATATAATTCAGATCAGTCATTACTCATGATGACAACAAATTTCTTCAGCAGTATCAGGGATAAGTAAGAAACACAAAGGAATGAACACTGAAGGTATACACCAAAATAAATGCCCCAGACCCTTTGTATTCGTGTTCTAGCAGAGTGGGAATTACATGAATCTCTATATATTACGACAAAACTGTTGCTCTTCCTTTCAAAGAAACCACATAAAACGTTCTAGATACCAGTAGAGGTGCAGCGAATAAGAGTTTTCCGGGTAGAGTTACTGGCCATCCAGCAAGGTTAAGACCTGACCGTCCATCAACAACTGATACCTGACCATCCAAGGAAGTGGCAAGGACATCTCTAACATTATCGCCATTGAAGTCCGCCACAAGAGCGCTTGATACGACAGGAGATGATCCAAAATCTGACTGCCACACGGTTTCCAGCCTGCGGTGACAGTCGTGAGCTGTTATGGTGACGATGAAGCTCAGAAAGAAAGCTGTATGTGCTATGATCTCTGAGCGTGTCACTCGTCTTGATGAATACTTTGAAAGCATTTCAACGAAGGAAATCGCTCCACTACTAAATTTCAGAGAGGATGAAGAACTGGCACTTCGGCCATGAAGGACTACCGTCTAAGGCGCAAAAAACTTTCAGTCTCACTGTGGTCTCACTGACTCGTTGCTGTTGTCATTGATTTGTTGTGCCGCCATTTTGGACGCCATGTTGTTCTGGCATGGAGCCTGCACTATACTTATAGCGGTGCTCTTCTGAAAAAGAGTTCTATGTCTTGTAACATGTATGTAATGTCATGACTCGCCAGGAAACTACGTCACGGGGACTTACGGAAAGAGATTCATCCAAGAAAACAGATCATCATAGGGATTCGGCAAAGCGTAGCCGTTTCCTTGCGAAAGAAAAAAAGGAGAAATGGACGCTTGTTTGAAATCTTCAATGCATGAAATCGTTTTAGCTTGCTATATATTTGTTTGATATAATTTTTTTCAAAGATAGATCGAAGATCATCGAAAGAAAAAAAAATCAGTACAATTCTATAGATCGCACTATCTGGCCTCTACGTACTCCATGTGCATTGACTTCACTAAACGACAAGGCGGTGGAAGCCAAGTTACAAGGAAAAGCTTGTATTTTCAATAAATAAAACAGCTGGCTATAACTTAACCCGCTCTATCGATTATTATCTTGCATATGTTTGACCAATTTAACACCCATATGACCGACGAAGAAGCGTACATACGGGGGCGGCAGGGTGATAGACGGCTGTGTGAATGGGCATTGATCTGAACAGAACTAGACTGGGCCTAGGACTGTTCCCTGTGATACAAAGTACTTCTGTGAGCAGACTTTGGAGAGAGTGAACTATCAAGATGATATCGTTTTGCATTGTTTTGCTATCCTTCTAAGTTAGAATGATGTGACAATCATTTGAAAATTTTCTTCGCGGCTTCTTCAAATCCTAAGTTAACAGTCACTATTGCAGCACAAAATTGCTTGATCTGTTGAAACTTAGCAACGCGCTTCAAAAACAGAGAACGGTACGAAGCTCACGGCTCTTAAGTTTGTTCATTTTTTCCAATAATTTCCAGATAACGCCGGTCAATACAAGACAGGTGTTTACCTCAAAGGAATGGAGAAACTTCGCCTCGAAGCACACGATTACTATCACCTTGTATACATAAGGGATTATAAAGGAGAAGCACAATCTTGGTTCGTGTGTGGGACATGGCCTGAAACTTACAGCACCACACAGCATTAGCTCAGTTTAGGGTATAATGTAGCAGCATTATGTCACTCGGCACGGTTGGGTTGGTACTTTTTTGTTATGACACATGGTTCAAAATCACTGGTTGTTTACTGTTTTGTTGTCTCAAATTCAATCTTTGATATCTATATAACGCAAAGAACGAAAGAGGGTTTTCATTATGCTATTCTGTAAGTGACTTGCGATTGTTATAGTCGAGAAATCATTGTGGTCATGACCAGGGATGAAACTGAGGGTTTTTAATACGTTATTTTATCAAAAATTGCAGGACTAAACGTTCCCTCCACGGGTACTGCAGCTAAAGTGACTGATTTATTTTCGTTTTTCACTCTATTTCTGGCCGGTATTGATTTCTCACCAAAAGCTTTTTTGATTATTAGACTTTTATTTAGTAGTTGATGTGCAGGGGATCAAATAGACCCGATTACTTTTAAGACATTTGTGCTTCAAACCGGAGCAATAAAATAATCTGTACAAGTGCCCCATCACCTCCCCCGGCCCGCCCCCACCTTTAGCATCGGATATGAAGCTGAACTAAAAACGACTTTAGGACTTATATTGATAGAGTCTATTTGTCATGAGCGACTTATTAACCTGTCGAATTTTAATTTCGACCTTCTTAAAGTGAAAAACAGCGTCAAAATTTGACGACTTGAATGCTTAACAATTGCTGTTAGTATCCGCAGCAATAAGGGGTTGGAGGTTAAAAAGTAATACTTCTCTAATAGATACAAAATCTGACTTGAGATCTTCAGTCAGTTCTGCAGGTAAGTGTTTATGATGAAAGTAGTTGCAGTGTTGCACAGTGTAGTTAGTATCATTAGCTACGTATACAATGAGGCAACAGTAATTAATCCCAACGCAGTTGCAAGTCATTTTAACTTTAAATATTTTGTGTTTCATAAATTATATAATTAAAGCAAAGAGATGTTCTGAGATTTTAATTTGCGAAATTCCAGATTCTCTTCATCTGATAGGAGAACGAAGTTTGAAATTTTGTGTTTCCCCTAGTTTACTTCAGTGAAATTCTGGAATCTCATCATGTCAGCTATGGTTTAAATAACAGGCGCAGGCAGGTCTGAAAACTGTTCTCATGGCAAAGGTTAGGTTAATAGATGAAATCAATGAAAGTAAAATAAATGGAAACGTAAATAATATCAATAACGAGTCACTCGAGGTGAAATAGGTGAGATTTTTTATTATGAAGCAAAGGCGTATGGTTGTATCGCATTTCATGAATTCTGCCTTTATCAAACCTGGAACTTATTCTTGTGCAGTTGATTGTTTCTTGGAGATTTCTACACACTTGTTTCTTCCTTTTCTGTCGAAACTAACTGTTAGAAGTTAATTTCCAGGGTTACTGTTTAGTGCTCTGTCACATTACTGTCAATGCAATGGAAATAAGGAACTTCTTGCAGAGATTCGTGACCCAGTGTGGCTGTACCCCATAGAACAATGCACTTCATTTCAGCAGAGAGATTGCAATGCATTTTTCAATCAACTATTTGAGAAAAACACTTTAAGCCGATTGAATGCAATGGAATTGAGTCTTTTTGCAACTTAGACACCATTTGAATCTTATTGTAGAATATTTCTGACGTATGTAACACAGTCTGGATCACAAAAGTTTGGAATAGATAAGATTTCCTGGCCATTGTATGTTTGAAGGATGCATTTGAAACCTGGAAAGTTAAGATGTACTGACTGTGGATCATCAACAAATGATCCATTAGTGAAATCTGCAGCTAACTCAAATGATTTTCTCTTTTCAAATCTCGTTTTCAAATCATTTCCTCCTGAAATGATGGGAGGACTGATAATTTATGACAATATTGAAGTTGACGGTAATTGGTATGGTTTAAATGCTATGGTTCGATGCTCCAATAAACATTTCACTTGTGCTTTTCACAATCAGGACAACAAGTGCCAATATTTTGATGATCTTTGTAAAACTGTATTAAGAGTTTCCTGATATAAAGTCATTGCAACGTTTTCCAAATGGATGGTTATTAACAGTATTTTAACTTACCAATGAACATTCCTGCAATGAGGACAATTGCAAAATGTCATCAGCATTTGAAAGAGAACAGATTTCTGAAGACTGTAACAGTCATTTTAACAATGTCACACAAAATACGCCTTACCCTGTGTGTCATAACATGCAAGTAGAAACTTGAATGCTTTGAACTTCACACCATACAATATGATAATGCAGTTACACATTCTCAACTTAAAACTGTCCATGAAAACAGTGTCTTAATAGTGAATGTGATGTCAGAGATAAAAAACAAACATCAGACGCAAATGCAGATGTGAAAGTTCTTCAGATGTGAATGTTCTTCAGCATCATTTAATGTTTTTGATAAAGAACCAGATTAAGCCTGCAGTCAAGACCTGTCATTTCAAAGTAGTAAAGAGCCTCTTCACGAACAAACACTGGCACTTGAAATGATGCAAAAATTTCATAGAAGTATAAAATTATCTATCTACCAATGTTCTGTGTGTCATGAGGCATGGCCCTTGAAAACAAACCCAAGCAACCAGATTAGTATATTTGTTCCAGATGTTCAAGAGACAAAAGTATCCCCCAAAAAATTTCGATTGAAAATCCATTGACACCATCTCCTGTTCCCAGAGAATTACAAGGGTTAACTCAATTTCAAGAAGTGTTTATTGCAAGAGCATTCCCAGCTATGCATGTCTATACTAAACCAAGGGGTGGCCAGAAAGCTTGTAAAGAGCATGTCATTACTCTACCTCAGGATGTACAACAGTTTGCAGACATACTACCTAGATTCCTCAAGGACCTTCCAGTAACTGTTTTCATTATTTCTGGAAAGAAAAATGATTCTAAAGATTTTATTGTGAGAAAAAAAGTTGATGATGCTCTCTATTGGCTTACTGGTTTTCATGAAAGAGGAAAACCTAATAATTTTCTGTATCAAAATGTTAAAATAGATTCACAGTCACTTCAGACTTTACCTGAAAATGGTATGCTTACTGGTGTCAACACATTGGAATGTGTTGACGATGATGCAAGTGATGAACCAGGCATAGATACTGGACCAGACAATTCAGAGAATTACAAACCATAAATTTCAAATGAAGATGATTTAAATGAGAAACAAACTGGTGAAAGAGAAGAATGTATGTTTCACGCTGACCTTACATTACACTGTGATTCAAAGAATGAAAAAACAACTAATGTTCCAGGTGAATACGGGAAAATGGATTGAGCAAAATACACATGGTGCGCCTCATCGAGCTTATATCAGACAAGAAGTTAAAGCGGATCCAGAGAAGAAAGTACAGGCAACTTCAGCTGAAACTGTTCGATGCCTGGGAGCAGTGCCCGACCAGCAACAAAAACGCTTCATGATTACTCAGCTGCTGCTCCCACCTGAATGGACCTGCTTGTAGCCAGTAAGAACCCATGTTACTGTATTTGCATAACTTGTTTATACGCGTGCGAAGTCATACTCAAAAGCGGCAATTTTCACGTAAACAACCGTAATTCATAATCTTATGTCATCGTAGGCTTGACTTTATGCGTATGAAGGCGACTGAACTCAAATGCGGCGGTTAACATTTGTGGTTTGAATTCACCACGCCAAGTACGAATCAAATCGACTAACTCCGACTTCGAGCATCAAGCAGGTGAATCAACAACAACGACAACAGTGAGCTTTATTTGCATGACTATAACAATACTGTATTACAAAAGCGTGGAAAGCATGATAATTGCAGTGATTTCAATATCAGGGTACAATTGCAACATTGATATCTATCATAACATTTATCCAATAGTCCAAAAAGGGTCAAATCAATTTGTCTCTCACTTCAAAGCACGATGAGATGAACACTATTCATATACTAATCATACGAATTCATTAGTTGTAATATCAAATTTTCATGCGATAATTTTTGAACATTATCAATTTTTGTT